CATGCAAATTTTGACCTTTGACCACAGATCATGGCCCCGGGGGTGACCTGAGAGAGCCAGCAATCGGCTCCAAGGCCCTATCTTGAGGTCCCTTACAACAATTATAGAGCAGAATTTTGCTCCAGGGGGGTCGATTTTTATGTTCCCGTAGTACCTTAATGCGGAAATGCTAATAAGAGATATCAAGAAAACAGACCAATTTTGACTGAGTTTTATTAAACACGTTCCGCTTCAAGTTTCCATTGTATAGAAGGACGTACGAACTTCCATTAAAAAACATGATTCTGATTCACTTCGTCGTTATCATTTGAACTCATTGTTACCGTTCATCAACACAGCTCGAAACGTAAAGGGTGAGAGGGCTATATGAAGGGAATGAAAAGATCGTAGAATCATGATGTGCAAGGTGAGGAAGTTTGCAAAGGACGAGGGAAGAACAAGATGAAAACATCAGTTGAAATGATTGTTTGTTGAATTTCCTGTGATGACGTCGATGAATTGCTTCTCGTCATGCTTCAGTTCCTTTATTCCGATCTCAATGCGTATGATATGCCCCAAGCGTTTGATCCCCAGTTTCTGAAAGACAGGGAATAACCATTTAAAACTCAATTCGGAAACTTTCAATAGTCATACCCTTGTTCCTTATAACCATTAAATGGCGAACCACCTTCAAGTCCCTTCGTTTTAATTCCAGGAGTTCTTTGCCGCGGATGTCATGCTTGCGGAATTTAGAGCAATGCATGGTCAAGTTTTTGTTCTGAAGCCACTGTTCTACTTCGTCCGGTCCCCACTGCCGAGGGCTGCGACTTGGATCCATTCCGAATGGGACAAATCCTTGTATTCCTGTTGTACAACTCCCCTGGGTAGAGTTGAGTCTTCGAGTGGAAGATGAGGTGGAAGGCATTTCAACTCTTTCAAGCTGTGTCTCAGGAAAGGTGTGTCTCTGTTGTTGGTGCCGCACTGCTTCCCCTTCTACGAATATTCAGGTTATAGTCAGTTATACTTTTACCACATGGCCCAATTTATTAATACTACCACGTAGTGATACATGGTGGAGCAGTAGCTTATCAAGACATTGAAACTGCTGGCACATTATACATTTTGTGAATGATTCTGAACACATCCCCTCTTCTTGATTTGCATAATTTTCGGAATTTGATGTTGGTTAATCCTCCATGAACTGTTTCTGAGTGACGTCCATGAACATTCTAATAGTCGCGTAATCACAAATGAGTTTTAATGAATGAAATGCATGTAAAGGAATAACGGTGAGCTTCACTCTATTCGCTGTGTGAATAAATTACTTTGATCAGTTCTTCTCCATTAAAAAATAAATATATTTTACTTTTCATGGAATCTTGAGCAAAAATAAAACTAGGCAATGATAGGAAGTAATGTGTGACCGATTTGAAATGTGCCGTAACTGTACTCAACCTCTCCAGGAACGGTGGAAATTCGGCAGGTCTGACAAACTCAAGTTTGATGCGCTGCTGGAAGATAGCTGTGAAAATGGTCTGAGAGCAAGGGAACTACTGGAAAGCAATCATGAGGAAAAGTGGATGTAGTAACAATACCCATGTAATGGGGGGGGGAATGAAATTAGGATAAGATGGTTCCAGCCTAATTGATCTAGTCTTCAAGTCTTCACTAAGTGACCAAGTCTTCACTCCTTGTTTTAAATTAATACCGCTCTAAAATTTTAGCTGCTTGCATTCATGAAATGAAATATCTCTTTAATGAAGACAATAGACACAGTGAAAAAAATTAAAAGAGAAAGGCTGAAGATAATTTTTTTTTTGTATGGTTGATTAAACTGTATTCGCATGAAACATGTATTTCAAAGACTGAGACAGAATAGGTATTAGTGGAGAAGGAAGAATATGACCAAGTCTACCTTAATACTAACTGTCCAGCTATACCCCAAGTCACAGTAAAGGGGCTTTAATTTATTACTGGCCTAGAGGCGCCCAAGGAATCGAACATCCAATCTAATGAAAACTAGTGCAGTATTAAAAATAAATGCTTGAAATATATAAAACTTTATTTAAAAAAAGGTTGCTTAAGTAACAATCTGGACCTTAGCATGAACCATCAAACAAAATGAATTAAGTAAATCATATTTTATTAGGACTAATCTCAACATGAATCAATTTTTGTCAAGGAAAAGAAGTCTCTAATTCAATTACTGTTACCACCCAATAAGCACGATCACAACCAAACCTCATCCAGATGGGAGGTGTGGTACAACAAGGGGCTGGACGATTTACATCCAACTATATCAAGTTAAAGGCAAGGAGTCCATTGTCTGACCGTAACCCTTTATCCCATTTTAAAAAAAAAACTTGACGAAATTTATAAATATAATTAACTGTTCAATGCTTGTCAGCTTGATACTCATCATGCCTCCATATCCATCGATGAGCACAGTTCAGTCTACAATGGGATGGGCCCCAGGACTTCATGGATTGTTAAGGAGCAAGAGAATTCCACTGTTGGTAGTTCTCATTTTTGGAGGAAATGAATAAAACTAGGGTTCCTCTTTAACACATTGACTATGAGGAATCCCATCCCATGATCTGTGCAAGTCACATCTCATCTCTGAAGAATAACGCCGAGAACGTATCTGGAAAGGCATTCGCTCCTTAATTTTAGTGATGCACCTCTGCATAGTACTGTTACAATATTACCTGCAATTGAATCTCCTCCAGCAAACTCCAAGTAAGAAATGTACTATTTTTATCCAAACGTGAAGGCATAGGCGTCCGCTCCCAGGGGCAAGGGGGGGGCACTTGCCCCCCCCCCCCCTGGAAATCGGGCATGGCAATTTACTGGTAGAACAAAAAAAGAAATTTAATGTACTTCATGTGGAAATCTCTTCTTCCGTAGCACCATTTAGACCAATCTTGCCACCCAATATGAAACATCCTAACGAGTTAAAAATTCAACTCAACCCATCTGGTCC